TGTATTACAAGCTTTCTCTCACTAAACAAGCAGCGTTTCTTTCTCTTTGATTTCCAGCAATTTGTTCTTCCATGTCTTCGAGTATTTATAGGCATGGATCATAAATGTAGCCGTTGGGAGCGTCTTTAATTCGAACGAAAATCACCTTTCCCATGGCATTTTGAGTTTGACAGTCATGGTGATGGAATGTCAGATGCTGAGTGAGAGAGAGAGAAGAGTTGTTGAAGATGGGGAGGTGCCTGTCTGCGCAGAGGGAGTAGGCAGCGTACTTGCTTCCACTTTTAGTATTAACCATTTAATGCTTTTTGTCTTGTAGTGCCCGTAATGGTCAAATCTGAATCTTTACATAAAATGAGATATCTCCCTTTTGTCTTTTATCCCTTTTAGGAAACTTCAACAAAATACTCAAGCTTGATTGTTAATTTCCAAAAACCACATAAAATAATTAATTAAAAATTAATTAAATAAAATTAGGTTAAAGGATCGAATTTTCCTTTACCAACAAATCCCACTTGGGAATGCAACATTTCTAACAATCTCCCCCAATTTGATGGTAATGGAAAATTATTTGCAGAAATTCCTCTTTGCTGAGAATTCTGAATGCTCCCCCATAATCTGATACCTATCTCAGTAAGAACAAGTCAATAGTACTGAATTTTAAGATATGTGTGTCTATCTGAAGTATGAGAGCTTAATCTGAAGTATGTGATGTATATCAGAGCTACTGAGATGTATGATATGTATCAGAGCATGATATGTATCAGAGCTTTTTTGAATTTTATGACATGTATCAGAGCAGTATTGTATATATCAACGCTTACTGAGTCATAATATGTGTTACATCAGAGTGGATAATTTATTTGTCTTTTATCAGAGCGGAATATGTTCAGTAACACATTTTTTAGAGCACACATATTTTTCTCAAAAACACTCAGAGTTCAGTAAGACTAGTTTCTTTAGAATACTGAAATATTTGTAAGGGTATCAGAGCATAACTGTGACTAAGCATGTTCATAATTGTTTCAGAGCTAATCTTAGATGTATATCATTAGAAAATTGATAGAGCATAGCTAAGCTATCTGAAAACCATTATGCACAGTTCGATGTATCAGAGTATATACATGACTTTTAGAGTTTATCAGAGCATTTGAACTAAACAAAATATTAGAGCAAATAGATATTTATTTTCTCAGGATAAAGGAAACACATTTTTCTTTTTATCATCTTACTTTACCCTTATATTTTAAACAAAACATTTCAGAAATCTGACTTCCTCAAATGAATATCTGATCAGAGATAGGATAGA